ACAAGACTTAAATAGTTCTATTGCATTCAAGTGATTAGAGAAAAACCCCCTACTGAATATTCATGCGTCAATAACTTTCTAAATACATGAAAACCTGAAAATCCACTTGAATGGGCCGAAATGAAGCTTGTTGTAGGCCGTCGAGATGTTAGGAGGGAATTGCCGATGTTAGACGGTGTCGGATACTACGAAAACGAAAATCAAACTCGAAGATTTACATTCCACCAAGCCAACTAGGACGTTCACCCACGTTGTAGCCCAACTGTCAAGCTGCTTCAATAGGAACAGCACATAAAGTAGTGGGAGAGTCACTAAATACACGAGCAAAGGTGTCAATTTTACAATGAGAGCGCAGGGAAGAGTAGCACAAGTGGCCTAATTTAGCACGAAATCTGCATGGAAATCAAAAACATTGATTTGCCTTGGGGACGACTACCACATCTCGTGTAGGCTACAAATGCCTTTATAGTTCAGCCTTTATCACGGTAGGGGGCATTGTGGAATGCATGGCGCACCCCCGATAGAATTAGATCAAAGCTAAACCATCAGTCAACCTCGATACTCTAATTTAAATATTAATTTATAAATAGGAAAGCAAACAGTTGCCAACTTATGCGGTAGAGTAATCAATATAGGCTTATTATCAATAATCAAATTTTTTCAATCACTACTTCCGGGAGTATGAAAAAAATGGTTGAAGTTTTTTCATCAGTGTACGAGTCTGAATACGATTGTTGTACCCGAGAAAGGGTAGATTCCTAACAGGACCACCGAAACTGAATATTGGAGCTTTTCCGAGAAAGCGAGGGAATCTTTTTGAAATGGTCGTTCTAGAAAATTATGAGCGCTATCAAACGAACTGATCGATGACAGGCGAAGATGTGTCGCTGGGAAGAACAGGAGTAAAAGAAAGAAGTCCAAAAAATGAAAAGCGAGAAGCTGCCCAGAGTATCGAGCCTGCAGGCCAGTGACTTGGGACCGTTGGAGAAGTTTACTGCGAGAGTTTTACAAGTGATGACGAACGGACTAAGCAAGAAGTGCTCTTTTGATGGATCGAATGAACAAATTGTTTAGGCTGATGCAGCTGGTCACCTTGGTCGGACTTCCTTGTGGTTGTTGTATACTGCTAGTAGTGTTCCCGTCGAGGGCAGCTGTCGCCAAGTTGGAAGAGAAGAAGGAGAACCAGGAGGACGAGGAGGAGGAGGACTTCCCCGGCTGACAACGAGAGGGCGGAAAGGGGCGGGTCACCCACTGCTGACATCACTCGTCATGGTGCAACCGTCGTTGAGATTCGGCGGATTTTTCAACCTGAACACGTAATTGCCGTTGGGTTTTTGAGCCCCAGTTCATTAGGGATGTTTAGAAGAGGAACTAAGTTCGTAGAATTTGTTTTTCTGAGCAGCAAAGTGCTCTCCTCAGTAGGGCAGCCTCGATGTTAGTCCAACGGAAAAGTGATTATCGTTTTTCCGGCGGACATTTTGGCGACTTTTGAGATTCTAAACAAGAAATCTGGGGGCGTAGCTGCATTGGCGAACCAATTGACGGGAAGGATGTCGGAAGGACAAGTTCGGATTCAAATGAGTAACTCCCAGATGCAATCAGAAAAATGATTTTACAGCGATGAAGGTCTATGAGCTTGAATTTCGTTCAACAGCTAGAAAGCATCACGAGTATTGAACTCTAAAGTAGTTCTCTTTACAGCTTGTGATATTAGTCGATGTATCAAATGCAGGCATCTTAGGGACTTCCCGCAAAAGGTGAGACAAAAGGGGTGGAGCGCTCACTGGAATGATCAGCAAGCCCTGAAATGAGATAACAAACACAAGAGAGAAAAATCGACTTAGAAGGACATCTGCTACAATGAAATTCCTCAGAATTTCAAAGGATCAGTAGCAGACAGTGGAGACAATGATAGATTTCCCATTTTGGGGGGAGAGGGAGAGCTGCATGGCTCGATCTTTAACTGGCTTGGGAAATTCGCAAAGCGATTCATTGCTGACATGGACAATTGGACTACTTATTTAGAAGGTTGAAGACTAGGGCCGAGTTGATAAACAAGCCTCATCTTCACTCGTTACAGCCTACCGTGTGCCATATAAGGTAACTCAAGTCACACACAGCTATTCTTTGTAGAAACTCAAGTAATTAACACTGAAATTATGCAAAATGAATGTTGTCATGTGCCATAAGGTCCGTTTGATACAGTGCTTTGGACAACTTCTTTAACTTGGATTCTCGCACCACGAAAGTGTCCGTATCGTTCGATGATATGTCGAAGAGACACTCAAAAGTGGGCAAAAATATCCTGAAACGCCGTTCATGGTTCCTTATAAAGGTCTGTGCCTTAGAAGACAAGGCCCTGTTCAAAAGACCAATTAGTTTGACTCACACACAGGAAGAGATCTTCTGCCAACTTGGAACTGTACTCCCCAAGCAGAGGAAATACCGAGTGTTACGGCTTCCATGAGCTGCTCACTGTTCAAGCTGTTCACTTTCCGTTGATCACCATTTTAGAGATCAATAATCGATTTTCCGAAACCCTATCCCCTTGGCAATGAAATGACCAGTTTAGCACTTTTACGACAAGTTCTTTTACAAATTCATCTTGGTTCCGCCACGTCTTACTTTAAAATACTGCCAACATTGGCATTAATGGATTTTTTTGACTAAATTAATGGACAGGCTTGAAAACACTTTTATTCTTGACGTTCGACTACGTAAAAAAAATAAAGAAGTCAAGTGCACAAGGAAAAGAAGGATGTGTAACTCGTGCAATTCACTTAAAAGCTGCAGCTAAGGGGTGGTGATGAAAATGGCATTGGACACAGCCATCTACTAGCTACATCGAATTCTTTGGCATGGCATAGTTTTCAGGACATGAATGGAAACTGTAGAAACAATTTGTCTGCAGAAGAACTAACCCAAGCTGTTTTTCATTCGGAATCAAGTGTTTTTACTAGTTTATCAGTATTTTATCACTTTTTTTTACCAGAATGCTTTTTATTTTTGAATATATCAGTGATTTCGGTTTGTTCCACTTTTTCTTAACTATCTCAAACACCTCTCATAATTGAATCAAACTTCAAAGGCGTCAAGTGCCCACTTCAAAGGCGTTTCGAGCCGACTTGGCAAACACTCTGATAAATTGGTAGCAAATTCTACAGCAAACATATAAGAAAAAGCAAAAAATTAGAAAACGTGACGTGTAAACTGCTATTGATTGGTATTCTGAGGATACGCCATGCACTCGACTTATAGTGAAGTCGCCTAGACTTTGAAAGCGACTATCTTCACAGCGTCAATAAAGACTATAGTGTCAGTCGAGTATCCGCAAGCTTTGGTAGCCCTAATCCCCCCATGCAAGCCCAATACGATAAAGCCCAAGGATGACGTCCGATTAAAAAGTTCATTTGAATACAGTGTAGCACTAATTAGCACTCAATCGTCGTGGTACAAGCCATGTACTATCACTTTTTATCAAAATTACCTCTCGAAAGGCCAATAAGCGTGTTTAACTGAAGAAGCATTGCTTACTATGTCCTGCTTGGAATGACCCAAGGATTGTTGTAGCACAAGCACGGGTTCGAGTCCAGTCCGAGGCCGGAGGCTTGGCCATAAGTAGCTAACCATCTAAGACTTTCAGATCACGTACTGCAGAGGCATAACAGCAGTTGGCATAGCACCAAGTCAAAACTACATGAAATATTCCTTGCTATGGACAGCTTTGAAGCTTTATTTGGGTAAGGGAGGGATTAATCCCGTAATGGCAAGCTTCTCATAGAACATTTAATGGAAACCTGGGTATATTAATAGAGGTTTTGTCAGGGTGCCTATATTCCCATTGAATGTTCTATGGGAATTTTATTACTCCTACCCTGGTAGTTTAACTGCAATCAATGAGTAATTTAAATTTTGTGTAAGGCCTTGCCAAACGACACTGTTCCACACAATTAGTCCGGGGACCAAAACCAGAACAGGGACGTGTTTAGACTTACTATATCTTAACAACAACAGCATAGCTCTACGCATCATATTTATGTTTTTGACGGCATGTCGAATGACGTACTAAACAATAAACAATTAACATTAGAATCTAAGTATAACACCCGCTTGAAGCAGTGGAACCTGGGATTTTACGATGTCTTCCTGTTCGTATGGGAGCTGCTGAGTGGCGCCTCTTCCGAATGGCCGTGTGTAGGTTTCAACCTTTTTCGCACTCCCTAGAGGCCTGAGAGGGGCACAAAGTTCGTGACATGCAGACCATCCATGTGAAAGCTTATGCTGGCAAACTCAATTAAGTAATCTCAATCATGAT